CAATAGTTTATAACTCGTGATTGCGTTACGGTACGAAATTCAAGTGATTAATTTTGCGAGCACTACTTTATAATAGCGCTTTACCGACTTCCAAGCGATCGATACGGTTTCCTCTGCAAGTGCTCGCTTCTGAAAATTGGAAACCAAATTAATATCTTACGTAAAACCAAAGGAAAACTAACAAGTAATGCAAATAAATGAAAACTCTGACGATTGCAAACTTTCAAATTAATCGACTCGCAGGCAGTTCGTTTCTTGTTCGCCGATTTTGCAGCTTCTCATTTGTCGCGGAAAGCCAGACGGTGCGCGTTTTGCTCGTAACAATTATGCCGACCCCATTTACGCGATTTATCTGACCCTCGCGATAAACGCCATGTCGTATCAATTCATAAATATCTGCAGACCGGCTGTCCATTGTTACGCGCTCCGGCCCGTTCCGTTAATAAGTCCCGTTAATGAAGCAACCGTGCGATGAAAAATCGCAGTCGCGCCCTTTTAGCCGTCGATAGCGGACTAATGAGCCTCCCCGTGCGTAAAGTATAATGCCTGAAATAGAAATGTATGAACGGGGACGCAGAACTTCTCCTGGGCGTGTCTACGCCAGATGCACGTGATCAATGAATTTCCGCCATTTTTCAATCGTGTATTGCAAATTTTTACTTACATACAACTCTGATTCGCTGCAATTTCACATTATTTAATTGTATTGCACACTCGGTAAGAATATATAATTGCGATAATATAAGGAATAATAATCATGTCACGCTTCTAATTATAGGCGGCTAATAAAGCAGCGGTTATTAATTCATCGAATTGCCATCGATATAAGCATCTTAATAGCAGTGATTAAGTCTTCACCGTTACAATGGAAGCGAGGGTGTACCTGTACAACCCGGGGAACACCGCCCGACAAAAAGATATTGATGAATGTACTGAGCGTAAACGCCTCTTTCGCTACAAGCTATATTATAAAGTCGCCATTGTGACAGCGCGTACGCCCCGCCGATAGAACAACCTTCGCCGATGAAAAATAATCGCAGTCGTGCCCTTCCGGACCTTCGTTTTGATAATGAGCTCGACTTGGCAAGGTCCCGAAGAGCACAATGCTCGCGAAAAAACGTCCGAGATTGATCTCCTTCGGGGTGTGTCTTCGGGACTGATCGCGATCGAGAGAACTCGCTTTCACTCGCACTCGCCGACTCCGCTCGTTTTTCGATCATTAATAATTGCTGACTTGTGTCGCGATTGTTAGCGTCGAATCACGGCGGAAAGGGGTTGGCGGGGAGGGTGGAGCGGATGAATTTATACCCGGCATAACGCTCGATTTCATTCCGTCGTCACGTTACGATTTCGATTCGAGTTCTCTTTGTGTCGCCTTCTCCTCGGGCCACTCGACCGCGCACAAAGGATGCGTTTCTTTCCAGGCTGCACCAGGTCGATGCGACCGGTGCAGCTGCAAGGCCATAAGAGAAGGGTGAAATCGTATGAGAAGGAGAGAGAGAGAGGGGGAGAGTCATTTCATCGCGACCCTAATTAACCATTCCCTGGCAGAAGCAGAATAATTTCTCGCTGCAGCATGCTTTTAATCGTAATTCGATTTTAACGAGATTTTAACAAAATTATGCATTATCGCTTATGCAGCCGTTCTATTCTTTTTTTCTCCATTATTTCCACCATGCTTTCATTCACTTTTATTCCAGCTTTTTACCGTTTAAAATCCTACAGAGACAATCCATAACGCACTATATATTGTTCTTTGAAAACATTCACCGCCAAAAGTTTCTATGTAATTTCAGGCAATTTGCCACTTTATTATCTTTACGACCGATTATCTACAAGTATGTGGGGGAGCCGAGAGTTGATTTGCAGAAGGCCCCGAAATACTTCAGACCAACCGCGATCGTGGATTTCCTCAACATTTCTGTGTGCTGATGAGCCATAAACCGAGAATTAATTAGCAGGTAGCACGCCGGCAGGAAACCTTTTTCATGAGACTCGTAAAGTTTATTCGGGAATCGCCTCGCATAACATAGCAATGATATTCTCGACGATTATCGCGTCGCAACAATATTTCGCAGCCACGAGATCAATTCGTCCCCATTGCATAAAAATAAAGATAAAAGTGCTCCGAGACAAAGTTTTATATCTCGCGTGATAAATATTATTGCATGACAATAATATAATTATGAAATTTACACGATATAAAAATGTAATAAATACTTTTCCCATACGAAAAAAATCTTCCATTATTAATCTCATTATTGGAAAATGTAACATCGTTTACATTCAGCTCATCGTTATATTGTCAGTTAATTATTTCACGTGTGACGTAAAGTAACAATTTTCTTCGCAAGAATAACTCGTCTGAGAAAGATATACGACACTTCTCTCTGAATAATTTTCATGTTCAGCAGGTTTGCAAGTGTGCAAAACGTTCACACGTATATCTATCCCGCTTTTACGTCTTTACGTCCCAGCCGGAATTGCTCCAATTGGCCGGGCATTTATTTTTGAACATCTTTATTTTCTGCGCACGGGGTATCGTAAAAAGGGCGAGACGCTCGCATTAAGGTTTTATAGCTGAGTAACCCAATGTGTAACCGCGAGATGGGAGAAATCGCGTGCGCACAAAATTATCATCATCATATCTCCGGATAAATACGCGATATTACGACTGCACGATATTATATTCAATCTTGGTTTATTTATCGCCGAAGAACGAACTTTGTGTCGGGCGCGGATGAAAAGTTTTAAGGCTGCTGCATTAATCGGGTGTCTAAAAAGATACCACTTCTCACTTTATTGATATTTTTTTCTTTTCTTGAAGGCTAACGAAATGTGTGCGCTTGTGTTATTATGATTTAAACAAACAATACAATTTCTGGAAAATATTGACGCGTGACTTTCATTCCGCAAAACGGTATTCATCAGGCACCTGATAAAAAATGATGATATTTTTTGTGACCACACAACGCGTACAATACTACAAGGTGTTGTGATCTGCGCATTTTCCTATTGCATAAGTATTACGTTACATATTTTGACAATGGAAACTTGTAACCGGATCTGGTTTCGTTTCACACGATCCTCCTATAAGAGATCCTGTTTCTGCGTCGGTGAAATGTACACATCGTACAAGTCACATTGTCACATATATTCGCGAGCAGAAAACTACTTCGTAGCTTTAAAACGTGTCAGTCTGATTTCTTATTATGTTGACTGCATCATTTTACCTTGAATGTAAATCTTTACGAAGAACTTGGTCGTAACTCAAAATTATGTAACTGTGTAAGCACGCATTTTATTCGGGAGTACGTTGTGCTTTTGTACATGCGTGCATAATCTCTGGCATCTCCCGCTTATCGCCAATATAACGGCGTAAACGGAGAAGTATGCATATACCGGGTGTCTCAGAACGCTGACTTTAAATTTGTAAACAAATTTCCTTTCCGCGGGTGATTGAATATTCCGTCAAATCAAACTTTTAAATCAAAATTTGAAATTTGTTTCAAGTTAAGTGAACGATAAACTTTCGTCGTTTGATTGCATTCTAGATATTCGATAAAAAAATCTTTGACCTTTAATCGCTTGTAAACTCGAAAATTATCAACATTTTGAGATTTTGTTTTTAAAAAATTCGCTGTAAGAAAGCTGTTAAGATTAAAGAGTCACTCTGTACAGGGTGTTGCATATACATATTGGGCAGTACGACGGGTTGCGTGGCATACTTTGCAGGGATAGGCGCAGTTCAATGGGTAATGACAGCATATATACGTATCATCATAACTTATTGATTCAATTGATCGCGCGCATTTTTACTAATTTTGAGTTTACAGCGTTTCAATAATAACGGACTTGAATAATCGTTGTGATTATTACTAGAGAAGCTAAAACACATTAAAGATAAAAAATTAAATTTTAGAAAGTTAACACGTTAAAAAAAACAAATATGATACAACAAAATTTCTTTCTTTACCGCTCTATCAAAATTTACAACGCTAACACGCGCGAAAAGTAAAGCGGTAAAGAAAAAAATTTTGTTGTATCATATTTGTTTCTTTTAACGTGTTAACTTTCTAAAATTTAATTTTTTATCTTTAATGTGTTTTAGCTTCTTTAGTAATAATTGCAACAATTATTCAAGTCCGTTATAATTGAAACGCTGTAAACTCAAAATTAGTAAAAATGCGCGCGATCAATTCGATCAATAAATTATGATGCTACATATATATGCTGTCATTACCCACTGAACCGCGCCTATCCCTGCAAAGTATGTCGCGCAACCCGTCGTACTGCCCAATATGTATATGCAACACCCTATATATATTATACCTAAGAGCTTTTACATAGCAGCGCAAGTAACCAGAGCCTCTTGTGCGAGGCAACCATTTAAACCGCTGAACGCAAATAGAGAACCTCGGAAGAAAGGCTTAGCAGGCACCCTGAATTTTTGTAAAAACGTTAATTACAGGGCTGCTTTCCTCTCCTTCGGTCGATTGTTGTTGCCAGAAACGAAGCAAGGAGTAAATGCAAACGTCGAATGCGCTACCATTCACTTGATACATTTCTTTAAAGTGATGCTAATGCGAGTAAAAAACACGACTTACGTTCTTCAGTCGAAAATAATTGTCATTAATTTGTCTAATTTGCGAATATTTTCAAATACATCAAGCTGTAATTTAAATTCTACTTTAGGCGCACCGCCACTTAAGTTAATTTTTAATTGTTCGAAGCTGTATTCATCTTTGTAAAATGAACTGCAGCTTCGTACAGCCAGACGTGCCTCGCATGCTTCGGCTAGTCGAAAGAGCGTATATCGCGTTACTCGCTCAATGACAGAGTCAGTAAGACCAACTACTGGCTCGAACTATGTAATCATCGCCGCAACGTGGTTTCAGTTTACTTCGGCCGAATTGCCAGGCGTACTTGAAATACGACACGCCAATTACCATTACTGAGTCTAAGCACACACTCATGCGAATTATTCGGTTCTGTTTCAGACACATCGTACGAGAAAGCTTGTCGAAGGGGTAGCGCACCCGCCACGCCTGTGCTCGGTGCGCGACCCTTGGATGTCACTCCGAACAGGATCGTCGTAAGTAAATTTGATCACTCGTGTAGAACAATATGTTAACACGTAACCGACTGCCTCGCTCCTGTCGCGACAATAATTTACCATTTTATTTCACCGACGCGATCAAAGTTATTTCAAATATTTTCCACGAGAACCAAAGTCACCTCGAAAAGTTGAAAGAAAAGGAAATGTAGCGCGGCAAGATGCGTCCGTCGATAAAAACACTAATTCGATTATAACTTTTGGTCTTGTTCTTTCTTTTTCTTTCTTACATGCTCTAATATCTGGTAACGTGAGATGAAGCACACGGTGTATATTACGGATTGCTTCATGAATGAGAATCGATTTTCCGGGATGAAAGATATCTCTCGGGTAACTGAGACCGTGCATAGTTTATACGTCGGCTCGTCGACTAACTTAATGCCCAGCGCGTTGAATATTCACGAGATTCCGCCGAAATACCCGCGTCCGTGGATTCGCACAGGCGCACGGCGCGCACATACGATACGTGTAATTAGTTCGTTATACCGTCGTCTCGGCACCCCGTACGTAAGCCGCCCCGCCGAGACGACGACGACGACGACGACGACAAGGATGGGTTCAGCGATCTCATTTTCTATGGCGCCTGGCGTTAACCGATCCCGGCTATATTTAACGCCCCCCTCCGAGCGGCAGGCGGACGCTTTCGTCTGACAATTTCACGTTAATTTAATTTAATTGAGCGGAGGATGGGGCCATTTACCGTCACGGGATCTATCTACCTGCCTCTCACTCGATATTATCGGCCTGACAATCGATGTAATGACGGAGACGCACGCGCGCGTCAAATTTTCTTCAGTGAGAAACATCCGCGTAATCTCGTGAGGTTCGCGATTAGCAACAGCGTTGTCTATTTTGATCATTCATTACGAGCAAAAGTGATTGCACGCAAAAGATCTCAATGATATACTAATTTCTGCACTCACGGTACATTTAGCGTTAAATGTGGCGTTGTAATTCTTATTTGATTAACGTGAAAGTGGCACTTTACGTTAAAGTGTAATAAAGAAAACCATCAAATTGAATGTTTTAACTTTTATTTGAAAGTAACGATTACTGTTAAAGCTGAATCATTATTTAAAAAATTTAGTTAATATTGACGGTTTTATACACAACTTTATTTTGTTACGCATATTTTTTAACGTTTTAAACACTTTTTTAAAAGAACAACGGTCAAAGAATGAAATCAACGTTAGCAAGAGAAGATTGAATGTAAAATATCGATCAGAAAGATATGACTTTTATTACAGCGAGTTCGCATTTAACAGAATAATTATCAATTACTTATAAATTTTTATAGTGCCAAATTTGCCATTGAATCGAATGGACTGCTTTGCAGAATCACAGATCGTTATCGCACGAAGATACTTTTCGGTTGATCCATCAACAGCCTCTTACAATTAGCGAGTGTATTAGCCTCGCAGATTAGATCTCTCGTAAGGATGCGAGATAATCACGCGCGGATTCTCTCGTGAAGATTTATCAGTGTTTCGATGTTTCTCGTAACGAACTGAAAGATTTATTCAGTAACCACTTCGAGAGATATATTATCGAGAGATAGAATAACGTCACACTTCGAAAAAATATCCCCGATCGACGATCTCCTGAGAACGGAAGACACATTGTCCCAACATTTTTCATGGTATACGCGTGATTCATACACAAACTTCGCTGTTTCTGCTTTCGGGACGCCAAAAATCCCTATTGCTCCTTCGGCCATGCTTCGTTCGCTGATCACGAAATTGGACTTTCAATCTTCCGATCACGTATCTCTGATCTCATGAATTTTTCGGCGCCTCGGATCGCTAACTAGCCAATATCTTTTTTTTTCGAGGAGCAAATAACCCGTCAACTTCGTATTTTGAAACCGTTGCATCGTTTTTCTCAATCACGAGACAATTTCTCGAAAATTACTTTAGGATTTGAGATTCTTTAGTAGGACAAGTATTTTGGAATTATTTTCTAAACATTTGTATATTTGTTTTTGAATAGTGAGACATACGAACGCGATGTTTACTCTAAATATTTTCGAGAATTATTATTTCATAAAATTATCTTTGTAAACGTCAATCTATCTCGAAATGTCATGCAACGAAATTGTAAAGATATATCAACTGTCGCTTGCACTATTGGGAACAATCACTTCATCACAATCATTTGAGTGTGAAAACCGACGCAATATGGAAAATATCGATCCAAGCTTTGCGCATCAACAGGCGTTCTCAATTCCTACCGTAGATTAAGTAATCGAGTAAACGTTTTTTCGTTCATTTTTCTACGAACAAAATTTACTTTTAACCCCCAAAAGATACGTGAATTTTTCTTTTTTATAATTAAGCAAAATAGTTTTTATATATTATGAAACTAAAAATCCTACTAAAAATTATAAATGAGCTATAGATTTTATTCTAAAAAGAAACTCTATGAAAAATTAGAAATAAACTATCAATACAAAGGTGAAGTGATTCATTTGTTAGTTTGAAACAAATTTTTTAAGATAACGATACATTCTGCCACTTTGCGTCAGAAATTACTAATCTTAGCTAATTTATAAAGATTTCTCGTATATTTATTTATCACATATAATAAAACGCATAGCGCATTAATTCATGTCACTATAAAATTTTTGTAAGCCACGATGTACTGAACATATATTGTTGGACAAATAAATGTACTTAGATTATTCGCGATTAATTTTTAAAAATTTGCGGAAAAATTTTTACATGTGTGTATGAAAATAAGGTTAAGTTTACACAAAGAATATTTTTTTAAGAACGCGGTGTTTTTACAATGTGTGCGCAACGACGCAACCAAGCTCCAATCGGAAGGGATCGTAGCTCGTTGGCAAAGGGTTTTAAAGGAACAAAAGGACGAACGGACTGGTTTTCGGAGGCAAGTCGTGACAAGTACGCTGTCGTTTCCGGTTGAGAAACGTCGGTGCAAACTACTACTTATGAAACGAATTATTTACCGGTCGTCTCCTAAGCATGGCTTAATAATCCAAACTTATTTTGAACATCTCAACAAAACGAAAAAGAATCGAGGAATATCAATGACGAATATTTTTTTTCGAATTTAAAAGTCTCTTTCTTTCAGCATTAATAATTGACATAGAAAAGTAAAGAATTGTTTTACGGGAAATTAATCTTTAAATAAGCCACAAAATTATCTTTCTCAATGTGTTTTAAATGGAGACTTTAACTTTGCTTGCCAACATACTTAAAAATCGGCGTAATGTATATAACGAAACAATGGATAAATTACGCGCATTACAAGTGGAACAAAGAAAACAGTTGAGACGTTTCGAATGGCCGCTTATTTCGTACGCGGCGCACGTTCTACGAGAGCGCGGAGCCAATTGTAGATGCAATCGGCGCTGCATGTCGCAGCCTGAGAGATTTGAGAACCCCTCGAAGACGTTTTTGTCCTTACCGGTGCGGGGAATAGAGGAGCGCGTAGAAGAGGGACCATGTGGGGAACCGAGGGGGTGACCCGTTTTGCCTTACCTGAATGCAGGGGCAGAGAGTTTTCGGTCGCGACACAAAGGTGTGCGCCCCAAGGATCCCTTGACTTCGGCTACCCGGATGAGCCAACAGCTGCGTCAGTCGTCGACGGGATTCCGTCGCGAAATCGCGCGCGATCTCTGCGAAATCACAGAGCCAAGGCGACATATGCGTTCGAAGAAAAATAATATCCTGCCGGGATGCGTGCACGGTGTTCGTGACGGACGGAAATGCTACTGTCGCCTTGTCGATTAATATCGACAATCGAATCTAACTATACTTTTTTTATTTTGAACTGCGAGTCTGTAATAATATGTACGCACGCATTGAATTCACTTTGCGCGACATGTTTCGCGAAGAAATCATTTGTTGAACGTATGACAAAGTAATATGTGAGTGCGCAAGTAGTGTTATGAAGATTCTTGGGAGACAAAATTACAGTATGTCTTCGAATTGAAGATTAATCAGATTGGAATTTATTATTGTCGTGATTTTTCTTTTTAAGTGACGTTAAAAGAAAAATTGAAAGAGGCCCGCCACGTTTGAAACAAGTATTTTTACAATATTCATGTTAATTATTGCGATGAAAATGTTCCGTCGTCTTTTTATTGAGCACATAAAACCGTAATGTTCCAATAAAAGCCCAACTTTCGAGATCTGAGATAAACGATATCTGTGTCATTTTTTGTTAAGCCTTTCCGCGAAACTGGTTTCGTCTTTCTAGAGATTTTAACAGATACTTTAAAGTTCATAAAAACTATTAGAAAACAGTAATAATAGTACTGAAGATAAACTAAAGAATCGTACGATTATTTTAGTATCATCAGAATTTCAAATTGCAACTTAAAAAAGCAATAGTACTAATAATGGAAATTTAATGCTAAAATGTATAATTAAAATCGTGATAATTATTAATCACGACATTATTTGAAGAACAATTTTCTTATTATAAAAGTATCTGCATATCGTGATAAAAAAATGCAAAAATGCAGGATGAATCTATTATCACAGTCTATGAATAGATAATGTTTTAATTGATACAACGCGACGTGTGTGAAACGAGCGGTGTATTTTCGAATCAGAAGTAGAAACGTTATTTTTAATTAAAAATCCGGTGCTCTTTGCACGCGACAGCAAAAATATATTTATAACCGGCTCAAGCACATTTCTCGACTTTGTCATCGCATTACGATGCAGAAACCAAAAAAACAGACTGTATTTACGTGTCCAATCGGTCATTATCCTCCATGCATGACGATACATGTCGGAGTTATGTTATGAAACTCAATACGATGCGTCGCGAGTAAAAAATGTTTGGTCGACCGTGATAAGTTCCGGAAGTAATCGGACGATTGGTGCACGCGGAAGAACAAATCGTAACCATTTAAAGGGCCTCTCAATTTAAATCGCCGGCCAGGCGATTGGCCTGCAAGACGCCGGCATGGCCGCGAAGGACGCATCCTCAGACACATTCGAGATGTTGCTTTTAAAGCCATAGAGATACCTGAGCACGCTTCCGAGGAATTCTTGGCTCGTGACAGTTATTTTGGCGGCAACAGCTGCCTGAAGAATCTCTTGAAAGCGCTCGCCAGAGCGCTATTATGCGAAATAGGAAACTAGTATTGACTGAAATTTAAATCTCTTGCATCTTGTTTCGCGTCCGTTTGAATAACGTCCGCGCAGGCGATACGTTTGAATCATTGAAGACACACGGGAAAAGGAATTTCGAGGCTTCGCAAATTCGAAATAATTCGCAAACACTGTTGAACTTTGAGGTAAATAAAAGTGCTAATTTTCGCAGATTAATGCAACGTCGAAAAATTTTTGTGAACAGACGGCTCATTGTGAAGACCTGTGAAGGATGCTTGGACAGTTTGGTGAATAATTAAATAAACAACATTGAATTGAAGAATAAACTGTAGAATATAGAAATTTACGCAAACTATTCGTCGCAAACTAATAACATCAGTAACGATTTGAAATGAAGAGCAATTAATAATCGCTGAGTGGGCAATTTGTAATTTCTCGAAGTATCTTAGGAATGCAGTCTGTACTTTGTAGCTATGAAATTCATGACGTATGTGTATAATCGCGCGCGATTAGACTGCATCCTGACATTGGGCCAGCCTTATCTCACATGTACGTACATGTAACGCGACGCTTTATTACGGTGATAATGTACTTTGTAACAATGGCCACTTTCGACCTAGCAATGGATGATAATGCCAGAACGCACGCTAGCGGTAATTTTTACACGAAGCACACATAACTTGGTATACGTTACAATCTATTTGAAGTGATGATTAGTGAAAGCCTTAACTATTTATCTCCATCGCACCGCACAAAGGTTTTTCTATTTCGTCTTAAATCATAAACGATTACTAAGCAAATATTAGTGGGAGAAAACCAGCCAATAATAAGTTTTAATGAATCATTCAAAAGTAAATTTTACAATGTTTACACATTGGACATGAATAACACAAGCAGTGTCATGTTTTATTTATGATTATTTTATCGGTAATAAAACTGTGTTTCTATCGTGAAGAACCATTAACGGCAAACAAGAATTAATTTGTACTTGCTAAAGGCGATAATAAAGTCGAGGAAATACAAATATTTGAAAAAGAATTTTTCGTGGCGTTGCCACGATAGCAATATGTAATGCAAACTAATAAATAATTAAAAATTATTAATTTAGTAAACAATCTTCAGATATTAATACTAGCAGCCAAATGAAAAATCATGTAAAAGTATCGCGAGAGACAAAGTGCTCCAACATTATGATGAACACACTGTAAGCGTATAGAGCTGTAAAACTTGTTTAGATATTTGGTGGGCGGTCGAAATAATCGAGAGAATAGTGGAGCAGTCGTAGAGCAAATGCTAGATTGTGAAACGAAGGATCCCGAGTTCAAAATCCGCTCGGCTCCTTAATCTTTCCGACGCTTACAGATTTCAGAAGTGGGATAGAATCCGCTGGCCCTCGGGGGGTCAGTTTTAGACTATGTGGATGCACGAGATGGTGCATTCGTCTATGTTTAATGAGGAAACCTTGACTGGTGGGGAGCCCGAAGTGTGGAGATGGACAATTGAGAGAGCTCACATCGCTCACATTCGAGGACGAATGTATTGTCAGGCTGGCCGAGCTGTAAGCGTATAAAGTGAGGCTTGTTTAGATATTTGGTGGACGGTTGGTATAATTGAGAGAGTAGTGGAGCAGTCGTCGAGCAAGGTTGTGGAACGAAGGATCCCGAGTTCAAAACCCGGTCGGCTCCTTAATTTTTCCGACGCTTACAACACCGTCTTATTTCGCGAAGTGAAAAGCAAGATAGATAGTGCGTGATTCGATACGCACGTATTCTTGCGTTAAGGATTCCGCGAATCGAAAACACTTGCCGGCCAAGATTGTTCGGGATCGCGTGAGAGAAAAATGTGCGTTAAGCCAATGGAGGAGAACGAAGACGACAAAGTTGTCAGCATGATCATCAACTACTTTAGCACGAGGGTAAATATCGCAAACAGTTGCGGAAAGTCAATTGTGGCTTCACATATATTTTTATCGCGTATGAAAGCATATTACAAAAACAATTCTTTTTCTGTTTTGAAATTAAACGTCCTGAATTAATCTCGCACAAATCTTTTGTTTCTAATAAATGATGTACGAAGTTAAATGAGGTGTAATAAAATTTAATGTAAAATTTTCAATGTATCGCTTATTTAATTTAACACTGTTAAACATTGACGAATGTGTTTTTTGATATTTGTTCTGATATTTGTCACACAGAGAATATGTCTGTAACAAATGCAAAGTTTTCTCTTGTTTCTGTTTTCGCTTTCGCGGACGCTTTTTATGTTTCTTGATATGTTATGCACTTGGAAGCGTAACAAGCTTTTTCAACAAGTGGCAACTAGCCAAATCCGTTCTCTCTCTCGGTAGCCTGAAAGAAATACAGCGAACTCACAAGACCGGAAAGTAGAGCGAGGCATTCTATTTCGTGATAAACAATTGTATGAAAAGCGAAAGACAGCAAAATATCGAATATCACACATATACTTATGAGTGTAAAGTAATATTCAAAGGAAAGCTGGAAACCATCGTGAGTTGCGTTTTTAACTAAACTATTTTTGATCCATCACCTTCTTTGGTTTACAGAACTTCTTCTCGAAACGATCGTTCCGATCAAACCCTCTGAAGAGGACAAAAAGCGTAACGAAGCTCGAGCGACAGAAGCAACGGGGCGCCGGTCTTCGGGGTTGTCGTTCGCACGAATCTCTGCTGTGCGGGCAGGCGGTGACCTCGATGGACCTCGCGGCGGTGACGCCGTTGCATCCCAGTCTCCTCGGCAGGCCTCATTGCTTCCAGGTCACGCCGAGCACCGGCGGACCCAAGTATTTCAGCTGCAGAACCGCTCACGAACGGGACCAGTGGTTGCACAGGTCTGTGGACGTTGCTTTTATTTATCGCCCTGTCGTTTCATCCGTCGATTCGTTTTCGTCATACGAGAACGACACGCCGGTTATCTCGAGACGCCTGCGGTACCGTAGGGTGTCCCAAATTTATGGTGCGGCATCATGCAGTCATGAAGTCGGACAGATATGACAATGATTGTGCAAAGCATTAAATAGCATGGCATAAATATATGCTGCAAATAAATGTAGAGCCGGAAAAATTATAAACGCAAACCAGATTACTGCTGGATAAATATATATGCTTATAATAATTGAAGACTTCAAGTAAGCAAGGCTCTAAATGTCAAAAAATAGATTTTGAAGTAAAGAGATACGAATGAATTATTATACTTGTAAAAAGTGATACGAATGAATGTTTATACTTGTAAAAAGTGCTTTTAACGATCAAACAAAACAACAGTTAAAAAATATTAGAAGTTAAAAATTTATGAAACGCTCTAAGTGCTAAACGCCCTAAAAAAGATAAGGTAAAAAAGGCTCCAAATGCCATAGATAGTATATCTGCTGTCAAAAAATCATGATTAGAATCAAGAACTGCTGTACGTGCTATTGCTAACAACGTATATCAAGCTCTAAGTGCCTTTCGTTCAATAAATTATTTATTTAAGTCACTTATTATACTTATTAATTGCACTTAGCCTAACGCTTTAGCGTTGTTAGCCATGGCACGTAGAGTTTGTCATTTTAATCGCAAATTTTTAAAAAAGGCTCCAAGTGCCAATCAGCTATTGCAGATGTTTGCAAGTAAATTTTTATTTTTAAAAAATTGGCAAACTTATTTACTTAAAGTCTTCCATTATAACAATATAATAATATCTAATTTTTGCCTTGACATACAATTTTCAAACTTAAAATTGTTATTCGATTTTTATACGATCAAGTTAATCACTAACCATTCCTAATTCGCGATCGATATTGTGTGCAAAGAAGTGGACAAACATTTTTTCGTTGTTTACGCAGCTTAAGGAAATCCGTTCAGCCAGACGCAGAACAAACACGCCGAACAGACAACTCCCTGCAGATTTGGTTGCTGGAGGCGAAGGGAGTGCCCGCGAAGAAGCGATATTTTTGCGAGGTCTGTCTCGACAGCACTCTGTACGCGCGAACGACCGCCAAATTGAAAGCTGATTTGTGCTTCTGGGGCGAGCACTTTGACTTCCACCATTTGCCCTCCGTCAACACTATCCAGGTCAACTTGTACAGGGAAGCGGATAGGAAAAAGAAGAGGGACAAAAACGTTTTAATCGGTAAGCACATCTTGATATATGTTTTAATTAAACCTTATTACATTGTAGGCGTATCACGTCCGTCACACGGAAAGATTTCAGATTGCATACAAATGCGCATTATATTTTATAATACGCGAGTGTACAACGGTACGACGCGACTTACTGCAGTCAATTATAATATAACGCAGCGTTACACATATGCTATATGTCTCACGCGATTATCTTTCTAGGTTCTGTCAGTATACCAGTACACAATGTGACGTCGCGTTATCTGACAGAGAAATGGTATCCCGTAGTAGGTGACAAGGGACCCCTCAAGGAGCCTCCTGCTTTAAGAGTAAAGTGTCGTTTCCAGTCAGTCGACATACTGCCGGTTCAAGTGTACCAAGAGTTTCTGGAGTATCTGAAGACCGATTATGCATCGCTATGCGAGAAACTAGAACCCGTTATTGGCGTCAAGGCGAAGGAAGACATTGCGACTGCCTTGGTGGCAGTGATGCAACGAGAGAAAAAGGCGCCGCAATTCCTCGCCGATCTCGTCATGATGGACATTCATCGAATAGGTAAGTTTTTATTGTTTTCATGCATAAAGTTGTTAAATGTGACGATGCTATTGTTCGAAATGTTTTTTTCCTAAGCACATTTATCGTTTGCATAAATCTAATTTAATTTAATTATTTTCAATTTTTTAATTTATAATTCACAGTTCAGTTTGTATTTATTCGGTATATATTTTAGATGACGAGAGACTCACTTTTCGAGGAAATTCATTAGCTACAAAGGCAATGGAAGCCTACTTGAAATTGACCGGAGACAGATATCTACAAGAAACTTTGGGAGCCGTTGTGAGAGGCGCGGTCGAAGGCGGCGATTGCGAAGTGGATCCACTCAAGGTCGCTTCCGTCGCCGCGTTACACAAACAGCAACAGAACCTTCGCAACGCAGTAGAACTGGCATGGAGCAGAATTCTGTCGAGCCACACTCATTTTCCGCTGGAGTTGCGCGAGTGTTTCCGTATCTTCCGCGAGCGTCTGGCCGATTTAGGCCGTGAGGATATCGCGGACAATCTCATTTCCGCGTCGATCTTTCTGAGATTCCTCTGCCCCGCCATTCTCAGTCCGTCTCTCTTCAACATTACGCACGGTAAGTTAAATAGTGCAACTGCGTTATTAATTGTTAACGCGTATGTCTTTATAGATTTACAATATATTTATTACCTTACATATTATATTACTACGAATTATTATTAAAAAAAATAATCGCTCCACTTTAGAATATCCGAACGAGAAAGCGGCGAGGAATCTCACTTTGGTCGCAAAGACGCTCCAGACGCTTGCGAACTTCACGAGATTCCAGGGCAAGGAGAACTTCATGGAATTCATGAACGATCTACTCGAACGTGAAGCTCAATCTATGAAGAAATTCTTACAACTAATTAGCGTAAGCATTATTCACGACTTGTTTTCTCTTAATTGAATTTATATCAGCCCACATCTGCAGAATTACTTTCACATTTTTTGTATAACTTTTTTATACAATTAAAACTATATAACTATGTCTAACGAATATTTATACGATCAGTCGGAATAACGTATCTTTCTGTTCAACAGAGCCCACTGCCAAAGGACGCGCCAGCCAATAACTCCCTCGAGTTTGACGGTTACATAGATTTGGGCAAGCAGTTGTCTTTATTGCACGCTCTCTTGCAAGAAAGTATGACAGCGATAGCGCCGACTTCGCCGTCGATACCACCGTCGCGATTACCCGAGATCCTCGACAGGATCTCGGTGGCTTTGAATCAGCCAGGACCAAGTCCCGTGCCCACCGCGCATCGCTACCCGAATCTACAGAACAATATCTTCCGTTACAACGATCCGACGATCGCCAATAGCAATACGAATCTCTCCATCTCGGCTACGTCGACGCTGAGCAACCACAGTACGATAAATGGCACAATCAGAGACAGCAACGAGGTGCTGCAAACCAACACGTTGGGCCACAACAGCTCGCGCAGTCCAAATGTCGCCAGAGCAGCGACTCTACCGCGAAACGCTTATATGCCAACGAATGGCAAACTGCAGTTGCAAATCAGCTCGGACGATTATCCCCTGGAGCCGGCAGCATTCGTATCGCGCTCGCCGACACCGATCACGCGACAGCACAGACCGCTCGGGTCCAATCGTTCCGGACCGGGCTACAGACTGACGGCCAGTGCGAGCCTGGCGAACGTCAATCACTGCCAGACTCATCCGACGAGTCCCACGCGATCCGAAAGTCACAATAATCTGAAAGACTCGAACTACAACATCACCACGTCTCCGCAAAATAACCAGTCGAACAACGGTGGCATTATCTTGCAGCAGCAACAGCAGCAGCAACAGCAGCAGCAGCAGCAGCAACAACAACAACAACAACATCGACACAACATCGCGCGCCTACAGAGTCTCGACATCCACGATCGGGAGGATAATTACAATCACAACAATTACAACGTCTCGAGGTCAGCCAGTCGAAACCACTGCCACAAAGAGGAGAACGCCAATCAGACGCAGCAGCGTAACTACAACAACGTCTCGAAGACCACGGTGAACGCCAACGTGGTCGTTAATCCGCCCACGAATCTCACACTGTCCATCAATCATCAACCCAACAACAACTATAACACTTCCAAGGCTAACAATGCGTCTGCCAATGGCAATCTCGATGAGCTGTCCGATTTGTTAAGATACGCGGACGACGAGGTGTCGGAGTCCAAGTCGCAGAAGGGCTCGCAAATCTCCATCTCGCAACTGAGCAACGTGGCTTCCTCCGGCTATCAAAGCTTCGCCGCTTACAGTCAAAGTTCCAGCCCGGTGGATCTCAGCAGCAACAACGCCAACGCGCATATTCTCAATGCGGCACCGCTAGCATTCGCCAATCCTGTTTATCACATGGAGTCCAATCATGCGAGGACGGGCAGACGGGACAGCAGTAGCTCCGAAGAAAGAGAGGGCAGTGGTGGCGGCGGCGTCGACAGCGTGAGAGGCGTTGACCTCAGCCCCTCACCACCGCCCAAAAACAATGTGCGAAATCATCAGAGAAACGGCCAGAATCAATGGCGACAGAATAACCAAGCCCACAGAAACAACTCGGAGCACGCGCAGGACGTCTGTTGCACGAAGCTTCGAAGGAGACTCTCTCTGGACTCCACAAGGGACCTGTCGGACACTAGCGAGGAAGAAAATTGCACCACCAGAAGGAGCAAGTCTCGCAGTCATCGAAGCATTGATCAGGTGAGCCAACAAAAGACAACTTGTTCCACCATTGTCAGTTATTAACGAGGCGACACCTCAACTTAATCGAATTAACAGTTGTTTCTTAAACACAAAAAAAATTTACAATTCTTCGGAACCTGTGCAGATTAAATTGTGAATAACCAGATTCTTTACTATGGATTCGCCGACTACGAACAATTGTAATTTTTTTTTTTTTGTAATCTATTGTCTAACGAACGGCATACCGCAGACGTCCCTCTCTTACCTGTCTTGTAACTAACACACCACGTCTCTTCGTTTCCAGTACGAAGTGGAAATGTATGAAGTGGAGAGGCTGCAGAATAGCGTAGATCGGCTGCGAATGCGCACGCGATTAGGCGCCACCGAAGATGCCGATTTAGACCTCGCACCCGACAACAACATGAAGAGCATCATTTCCAGGTACTTCATCTTCATTTCCACACTAGTAATCGCTAATCCACTACCGGATCTTTGCCTGAGTGTGAACCCTGATACCACAGTGATCATTATTATCACGTTCTATGCGTTCTTCACTTCGACATATTCTCGCCATGTTCAGCCACTTGATCTTCCACGTCCTCATTTCTCAACTCGTCGCGAAATTCATTCAAAGCCTTCGTAAAGAAAGTCCATCGTGTCACGAGATGACATTTCAATTGGCAACTTTCAGATTCATCATCACGCTTCGGAAGAAGTGCGCTTTTGCAGAATTTGCGATTCGTATAAAATTCTTACTTCTACTAGCTGCTCAGATCAGATTGTCGGATCTAATTCTAATTTCATGAATGTAACAAGCAATGCGATTTTTACAACTATTGTCTATTCTAGTTTATGTACTGTTAAAGATGGATTTCGCCTAATCGCGTGTACCACTTTTTCTATGTCTAACGGAACTAATGGGGAAACACTCACCCGTATATGAACGGCTACTTTATCGAAATGATGTATGTTTAACTGATTGTGTGTTCCTGTGCATTCTATCCGCTGCATTTGGTATACTCTGGCTTGATCTGGATCTTTGGTGTAAGAGTCAATCATATTTCTAAGCTTTTCTTACATTTTTTACATTTACATATTAGCTTCTCATCGTGTTCTCTCTTGATTTTATGAAAACACTACCACGCGATCGCGTTTCGCTGTGTGTATTCGCCACTTGAAATTGAACTTGAATAAAAAAACCCTTCACCGATTCTCGACATTGCCGATCACGAAACGTCAACTTTATCAACTTTTCACCGATCGTCGTTCATCAAACACATTAATACACCTCGACACACATTTCAACACATTCATTCTGCTCATGCGCACGGATATTTTGCGACTCTCACCAATCGCTCGTGTGCTACCAAGGAAGAAATGTCCGTGTCGTGTCGCGAGCTGATGTTCACCGCTTTATCGAACCTTACAATATGTGGACATTTCTTTTTTTTCTCTCTTTCTCATACATGCTCGCTGTGTTACAGAGCAAATACATGGTTTCTCTGAGAAAGGCCTCTTACCTTATATTCCAATTATTCCTTTTCCAAAAATATATCGAATTCTACATCAGACACTATCGCTGCTTCTTACAGTTTGATTTTTATCTATCAATGTTATTTCATTAAATATGCATCGTGCTTGATTCTTTTCTCACTTCGCCATAACGTCTCTCAGTTTTTAAATAAAAGAAGAAGTTTTGTCGTCATTATACTTTTTCAATATCTGTCCAAAGTAAAATTATATAAATCGAATAAAGAGAGAGAGAGAGAGAGAGAGTTCACAGGCGAAGTTTAATTCTACATGTGCTTAATTCTTCGACGTTCTTTATTCTTCGCGTATAATGCTACCATTTATAAGTTGTTCAAAGAATAAAGATCGTTTTGAAGAGTATTTTCGATACAAGATACGCCGTAGTTTTCTGTCAATCATCTTTCTTCTTTGCACGATTGCGCTTAACTCAGGTATAATGTTCTCGTTTTTGCCCACAGGTTAATCTCCGTGGAGGAGGAGCTACGTCGCGAGCAGCAGAAGATGTCGGCGGCGTTGTCGTACAAGCAGCGCGTGATTGACGCGCAGGAACAGCAAATAGCCGCTCTGGGCGCCGCGAATTCGCGTCTCATGTCGACGAACGCGAGCCTGCTGTCGGCGCTGAGTAAGCAACGCTACAATGCCAAGACTCAAGCGAGCGGTGAGGCCGCACCCCTGTTGCAGAATATCGCTGATATCGGTGAACTCAAGAGCTCGTCGTGCTAAGCATTGGGAATCGTCGTGAACGAAAGAGAATCTTTGGATTGGTTTAAGATGCGTTTTTTCTTTTTTTTTTCTAAGGCCTCGTGCTGCAATACGCGTATCGTAAATGCGTATCGATTAATAATGACATTTATCTCTTCGGAATAATGATCTTGTAGCATTTGTACCATGATCTAGCGCATGGTAAATTGATTTATCATGAGATATAAAAATGCCGAAAGCAACTGATTACGCGCTCGAAAATTTGAAACGTACAAGCACGAGTGGATGATTGTCCCGGTGTCGACTTAGACTCGCAAAATCCGAAGATATAAAGCATCATACTGAAAAGAAAATACAAGAGATTACGATATAGGAGAAAATGGCGTGCGCAAAAACAGAGGCTACTTAGTGAATAGACAGATCGAGTGAATAGATAATTTTCGTCGAATTTATATGATGTGACATAGCGTTAGGCTAGGTTTATTTGTACGCGAATAAAAGAAAATCCGCGACTCGTCCGAGGTCCGACGATGGAAATTGTCCTGATTGTTTAAATAACGATCGGAGTCGCGTCAGCGTTGACTAGTCGACAAAATATCGCAACTGTGCGTCTCCCGACGGCGACTTTGCTTCGTTCGACACGAACGAAACAAAAGTGGCAAACGAGACGAAATTCAATTTTATCGAAACTGAAAATCTTTAATCACCGGTGAGAAGCGAGTTGCAAATCTTTATTGATCGAATAAAGAATTATTTCAATACAGTTATTTTTGAACTAATAAGCGCATGAATGGAAGTCAATAGAAATGAACTTTATTGATCAGAATATTTGATATGGAGCATGAAGTATATGCACAAAACTCAATAAAACTTCTATTTTGTCATTTATCAGCGATATGTAGATAATTGCAAGTTTTATTAATTTTTTTATTTGCTGTGCAGTTAGAAATCAGATGACACAAAACGGTATATATTAGTTGCGCGACAAAAGATCGACGTCCAATTAATTAATAATTGGACCATCCGGTTAAGGATTATCACAAGTAGCAGGCACTTGGACGGCACACGAACAAACTCTGATCGACAAATCATATATTTGTTTTCTCCCTTGTTTCTAGTACCGTATCTATCTACGCACAGCCACATGCACCATATAATAGTTACAGTATGATATCCAAGGATTATAATATCGAACATTCGCGCTACACCACGAAATATAGAAACAGCATCCTCGAGCACCGGATCGTACTGCAGGATCTCTATAGACATATATATATTTTTCTAGTTTCTTCCCCGAATATACATGGTCTCGACGCAATTTTCATTTTTACGCGTTACTTCGGATCACGAGAAGCCCGCGCGTTGCAGCTGAGGACGAATGAATCTAGCCGAATAGCTCGCGTCATTTTTCTTTTTTCCACCATTTATAATATCGAACGAAAAACTGAACAAGCTTCCACGACCAAAAGACGATAGTCCGTCGAGCGACAGCGCCGAAAATGGACTTCCAAAGTAATGTTTCGCGCGCGTCTTCGAATTTTTTATCTCGACAAACGCGAGCAGACTCTTATACGATTACCTTTGGTTTAGAATGACCGACTTTAATCTAAGCGACGATATTTATTTAGTAGTGTTTACCAAAGAAGAATTTCGCACTGTAAAGAGAGTATCGAGATTTATGTAAGATATTTGGTTCTTTTTTTTTTTTACTTTGGCCGTTTCCGGTAAAGACGATAACAGTTATCGTCATGCACGGAAGCGACGCAGCCGGGAACGATATTCGAGCGAAGAGCGGCATGCAAGCGTGACGAAATTCGGAAATCATTCTGCCCGCTTTGCTATCGTGCTGTCCGCAGACAAAATTTTCATACACCGAGAGATTCCCGAGCCGCGCGCAGTAGTTCTGCACACAAGCAGCGTATAATGCATGACAATTAATTAATTAGATTTCTCGAAGGTCTCGCTCGTTCACAAAGCGTTAATGTGTTACGTTTTACATCACAATAACAATTATTATTGTAGCCATTGTCGTACAATGCGTGTGTGAAAGACTGAGTGAGAAAACGAGCGAGAGAGAACGAAAGAGACGGAGAAAAAGGATGCGTGAAAGAAAAAGAGAGAAAGAGAGAGTATGAGAAAGTGTGAAAGTGAGTCCGTGAAAAGGAGTGAGAAAAATTTATAATCAGTCTAATCTCGTTAAGAAAAAAGTATTATCTTGTCGACTTTGTACCATAGCGTTATTATCTTGTGTCTAAGCGTTTGAGTTTCTTGCCTCACGCCAATTATTTTTGTATAGAGATTGTCCTTCTCCCTCTCCCTTCTTTTCCTCCTCTATTATTTTTTTTATATTTTCCCATCTTCCTGTCCCTAACCATATTGCGTTCGCGGGAAACCGCCCCCTTAAGAGCCGCTTCCTTCGACTTGTCGAGTGTTTACATCATAAAATTAATATATTAACGCTATCCCCTTCTTGTTGGACGATGTAATCAATGAATATCTATTTAAAAAAAACCACTTAAATAGCATGTACATTATTAAGTTTTGGTATATTCGTTTCTGCAATAGACCACCTGTATTTAAGCGTATAGCGACTATTACACTACATGAACAAATAAATACGATTAGACATATTATAAATGAGCCTGTTATCCTCATTTCTTTAACTCCAGTTTTAATCAGTCGTTTCAAAACGTTGAACCGACTAATTTTTATTAAAATCGATATAAAAAAGTAAAAGGATATTGACACATAAAACAAAGTAAGAGAAAAAATGAGAAAATATGGAAGATTAATTATAATTTAATATAAAATAAAATTTAATTATATAATCTTTCATCATGAATTTACTTGCCTTTCTATGGTAAGTATATTTCTGAACGAAGACAAACTCGTGTTTACTCGCACGATAAATTATGTGCGTTAGAAAGTAAATTCTCTCTTGATACGATGATTCTATTGTATTTAAGACATTCAGACTTTTGTATAATTTCAGAATTGAATGAACATATATACGAGATAATAAAATACATTATTTTAAAATTCTGTTAATTTTCCGACAGGCTTTTCTTTAACGGATACAACAGATGGAGCCGCAAGTCCATTACAAATCACAAAATGTTAAAATTGACAGAGCAATTTAATAAATTCAATTATAGAAAAATTTAATTACACTTGTGATTCATTCAACAAAGTGACTTATAGATCAATCATTTTTCAACCAACAATTATCTTGTCAAAATCGAGCTCTGAATTTAATATTACACGTGCAAGTAGCAACAATATTAAATATATATCATATTTATCAGATTTCAAATATATTAAATATTCATTTAAATAAATAAATTGCTCAAACAATCGCAAAAAAAATTCAAGAAGCCCTATTGCCTTAATTTTCAGCACACAGAGAAGAATCACTCAATCACGAATAAACTAATCGCCATTAGCCGTAATCTTTGGATACTTACCGCTGTGGTGATCGCATTATTGCCGTGTAAACAGACAGTCGGCGAATGATCATTGTCGACCAATCAATCTAATCGAGATGAGCCTCGATGACGGCGCGGCAACCCTCGAAAAATCAATAATACGCACCCTCCAGCGTGCGAACGCGTGCCAACGCAAACGATACACGCACGGCATTTCTAAGACAGTGTTATTGCCGTGTAAACGAACGAGAAATTATTTTCAAAGCATTTATATTTTTCTCGATTTTACATTTAGCATTAAATATGACTAATGTCAAATTTGCGGTTAACTTTGTGCGCATGTTTAATACTGACGAGAAGTGAAAATAAATCTATTTCTCTGCAAGATTTTCGTCGAGCTTACATCGAATAATATTTTCGTATTCAAAGTATTTTAATAAATTACATTACTGTAATATTAAACAATCGCTAAATGCGTTAAGCGCGAATATTCGCTGCAATCAAATTTGTGTTGATATTTTACACGTCATATATCAAGCAACCGTTATCTGAATCTCAAAATAATAGTTTAAAATCGTCGCTTAAAATTAAAGATACGATCGTCATGTGAGATAATCTGATTAAAAAATTAACGAGCACATAATTGCATACTTTTTAATAACAAACTGCATTACAAAGATTTTTATCCGGTCATTCAAACTTCGTAAAAACACACTTTATTGTTACTTTACTGTGTATTTATCTTGTCGAACACCATAAACATGTTATCTCCACTCGTTAGCTTATTACGTAAGTCATATAATTGGATTTATGGGACGTAAACCATATGAAAGCCAGGAAGCCGGTCTACCTATCTGTGCACACCACAGATCAACTTTGATGAGTTTAAGAGAGTTTTAAACGGTAATATCACTGATAGCATTTGAAGAGAACGGAGTTGCAAAATCGATGATGTAGAAATGCTAATAGCTATTAATGCATGCAACATTGTAAAGTCATAACGCCCTGTTATAAAGCGAGATTACCTTAGTTACTGACTATATCAAAAGCTCCTGATAACTTAAGTCGCAATAATACATATTAATGCCTGCGCATATAATTTCAGAAATGTGAAACTGAGCGACAATTACCATAATAACTGTAGCAACTTCAACTTTATCATAGAAATGGTTATAAAGGCAAAATTAAAAAATTTCTCCGCTTTTTTAACTCTTGCCGTTAGAATGTACATGGTTCTCTTTTCATAGATTTTAACGTAAAATTCCAATTATATTGATAGATAACGATATAAAATAAAAAATACATTTTTTGAAGTTATTTTAATTTTTTATCAGTTTTTACGTTTTTTTTTATCTTGTGTGTTTGATAATTAATTCCGATTACGAATACGATTCGTGTCGATTTGTTCGTTCCGACTTTGCGGCGTTCATCGAAAGAGATTTACAAGAATGCCACCGACTTGCTACCGATTTTATCGCTCTCCGGCGGGAACTCGCGTATGAGGAATAATTTCTGCTCCATTTATGAAACATAAGCGCGGGGACTCGAGAGCGATTTCTACTATGGGGATACTGCTACGTGCCTCGTAAACCTGTTGAATAAGCACGGCCGTTGTAACAGAAACGCATGTGCGCGCGTGCGTATAGCAAATACGTGTAAAAATAAATGTCTGAAAATAAAAAAAAGTAGGCTTGCAACGAGATAATAGAGACGCATTGTAAATAAAAAGCATAGTCTAGACATAATTTGCCATAATAAATTTTGCGTATGAAGAGATAGTAAATGTTCGATAATACTAATTTACTTATTCCGCACACATAGTCTTTAAAATTTGAAAATTAATAAAGGTTTTAAAAATGTATATGAAATGTTAGATATAACGCGATAATTAAATATATATAATATTCTCCACAAAATAAAAATAGTATCAAATATATATCGATCCAATATGAAATTTAGAATAATTTTAGAAATTATAGAATACCTAAAAGACATTAGTAAATTTTTTAAACTCATCAATTGTATAAAATTGTATAAAATATATAGAAATATAACTCCTCCAAGCAATTTTCGACAAATTCAAAAACATATGCAGGAAAATTTAGCGATCGATTCGATCATCCGACGGTCCGTGAGAAAAGCACGCACCCTCGTTCACGGTTGCATATAGCGTGCCGAATGTAAACAGAAGTGAACTTGGCAGTGTTGATAATGTAATTCCAACTGGGGATCGTTGCAGTTCAAGGGTTGAAGAAAAAAAAGTATGCCGCGCGAGGGGAGACAAGGAGAGAGAGAAATCGAGTCTGAACAGAAAAATGGCAGTTTCGCTTGCGACATTATCGCAAGCGTTAATTATAAATAGCGTTGATTTATAATTACATAGCGGAATTTTTTTTTTCGGAAAAAAAAATTCAGCTGAAAGAACTCAGTTTGTTAAACCTCGTGAATTTTGAACGCGATTTTGCATACAAAGGGACGGTAAATTTTCGATAATACTAAATAAGCGGTCTCTGCCCGTCTCTCTGATCGTTGCCCTTTGCCTGTCACATGCGTCATCGTTGCCTGCACGCGCGAGTCACAATAAATTAATCTTCACACTCCGGGGCGAATCTTTTTATTTCTTCTCTCTTTCATCTCTCTGCCATACTCCGGCATACGTTGCTCCATACGAACGCGCGCGCTCGTTAGTACGCGCAGGCGGATTTGCATATTTCCCATAGTTGAAACCGATATTTCGGATAGCGGTCCTTCGCGCACGGTAAACGCTGATGTGATAGGAAAATACGGTATCAATGAATATTCGGTATAACGTCGCTAAAATCCATAGATTTCGGAGATACACGGATAACTCACGTTTGTCCCGGGCCACTCGTAGTTTTCGGATCACACCAGACCGGGAGTGCGTGGGTATGATAGCTTTTAGAAATGCATATATGCATGGAATTTATCGAGTCGTATATTATATATATATATTTATATTATACATACACACACAACAGCTCTGGTGTATTAGAAATCTGTAAATCCTCCAGAGAGTATATAGACGCAGATATGCGAGTTCCAGTCTCACGGATATTCAGAGCCTACAAATCCTTTCTTCTTGATAATTCCGAGATGACTCCTCCTCCTGGAAATAATCGGATACGGAATACGTCAGAATGCGTCGAAAAGCATCAAAACATGCAATAGCTTCAATCATGATATTTGATGTTTTATTTAAAATCTATTGTGATACTAATATCTCTGTTTTTTCTCAATTAAAAATTAGACGTACGAAGCTACCATTTGACACTCTAATGAAATAAAAATAGTTTTCTATAACTTAGATAAATATTCGACAAAACAGTACGCAAAACTGTTTAAAAATTCAAGAAATTTATAATGTGAAAAATTAATTCGCCTTATGCAATACTCTTTCAGTTGTAAGTCGAACTGCGTCACAACTGCCGCGCAATTATTATTACTCTCGGTTCTCGTAGATAAATACTACTATTCGCACTTACAATTATGCAAATTATTACTTCACATCGCGGTCAGTCGTATATATAATACATTCTCGTTTGTTTTTACGAATCTCATAACGATGGAATATCCACGATATTCTAGCTTATCGTTAGTGTTCGCCACTGCTATTATGTACTAAAAATGTTTATCGTAGTCTAATAATAGCACATCGCATATCGCGTTATATTATTTTGATTTATCTTACTCAAAATAATTTTACAGATCGAAAATAGTTGTTAGTCGACGCACGTTTGAAAAATTGGTGATAAGAATTTTGGCAATAATTAATAATAAAATTAATTTTTTAATTTATTTATTGTTGCAGCACATTCGTTACATTGAATGTAACTATAGTATTATTTAACATTAAACCGATGTTAAACAGGTATTAATTCAAGTGCGTATTTCTTTCTGCATTTGTGTGAGCATGCCATTCTCCACAAATTAGTATCAAGGCTTTGCATGACATCTTTATTGCAACTTCGGCTTGCGAAAGCAAACGTAAAAAACTCTAACAAAACGATAATTTCCGATATTAATTTGCTAAAAATTTCACAAGGCTGCATATCAAATCGTTGCGAGCTTCTAAGCAGTAAATATAAAATTTCATCATCTTATCATCTTAACGTCAAAGAAGTTCATTTTTCCAAACTTTCAATTGAAAAAAAAAATGGCAACAAATTATTAATCATCCTCGCAATTATTGTT